TGATAAATTGAAATCTAAGTTGAAGAATTACGATTTTGATGGCAGTCTTATGCAAGTTTTATTTCGCTTTTAAACACGGCTTCGTTGTAAAGCAGGTTTTTTTATCATTTCTTTTATTGTAGTAGTTATTAGTGATTTATCAGTTAGGCAATTAGACTAATTTAATTCAATATTGCTAAGTCCTGAATTAAATACTGTGTCTAAATAAAGATTTTGCCTCTACATATTGCACATTTACTTGTATAGTGGTGCAGGCATCTGGAACAGTCTACCCTCAGCTGCTAAGCAAGCAACATCTCAGACTAATTTCCGACGATTGTTAATTAATTCCGACAAGGCATTCATGTAAAGCAGACTTTAATTTAGTATACTTTTCTTTAATAGTTAGCAATATTTTTAAATTATACATAGTCGTAGCTTGTAGCTTTTATATTAAATTGTTAATGCCTGATGTATTTACCGTGTTTTTAAATGAAGAAGAAGATGATGATGATGATGAAGAATCTTATGCTATCACCTTCCTTGACCTGACACGCTTAAACTTAATCCTCGCTGAGCAACTGTCTATCGACACAATGTAGCTGTCACCGGTAGTATCAAAAGGTCCAAAGGGGCAATCATTTTCACACCTAAAATAATAACTAGCCGCTAAGTCAGCCTCTATCAAGCAAAATAATGATTGGAATTTACACGCGTAAAATTCATTTGAATAGCTCTGAAAACCCTTATTGACTTCAAATACAGACAAAACAATTCAATTCCAGCTAATTAAATTATGATTATCAAAAATCGTTGCCGCTAGAGCAGTTCTTCTGTCCCTTTTAATAGACCATTTCAAGGTTACCAACGCCATTTTGCCGGGGGTGCAAAACTACTGGGGCGAGCGCGCGGCCAAGCCTGAAATTGCAANGGATTTCAAGTCGGATTTGTCCAGAACAAATCTGAAATTTCCCTCCAGTGCGACTTCGCCCGAACTTCCCAAACGCGAAAAAGTATTTAAGAAATTACTTGATCAGCATTTTGACATCTATCTCCTCCAGGAGACACATTTACCGGATGTCACGCAATGTGAGCTTTGGGAGGAACAATGGGGCGGTCACACACTTTGGTCTCACAGTACAAACAGATCGAATGGGGTGGGCTTACTTCTCAATCCTGGGAGCTCGACTGAAATTGTTAGCCATAATATAGACACGGACGGCTGTGTCCTAGTTGTCAAACTAAAACAAAGTGACCGAGTCTTTCAAATTATCAATGTTTACGCTCCAAACAAACATTCCGATCGCGAGATATTTTTCAGCACTTTGTGGCGTCTTGTGTTTCGTAATGTTGACACGATTATGACCGGCGCTTTCAATTGCCTCCCAGATGTCCTTCTGGATAAATGGGGAGGTGATGACACCTTTGGAGATGACGGAATCACGCATTTGCATGCTTTGCAGATTCACTTTCTCTAGAGGATGTCTTCCAAGTGAAAAATCCGGTTAAAACTCTTCACTTGGTTCAATGGTCCACACTTGGTCGGTTGCTGTTTGGACCGCTTTTATACCCCGATAGCGTGGAGATCACAAGTGCATAACCACACTTGTGACCCCTTTTCGTACTCTGACCACCATATGGTGTCTATTAAAATACAACTCGGGCATTAAAATAGACCATTTCAAGGTTACCAAAGCCATTTTGCCAGGGGTGCAAAACTACTGGGGCGAGCACGCAGCCAAGCCTGAAATTGCAAATGGCGTAGAAGAATAGCTGAAGTGCTTCGCTATTCTTTCTGCAGAAAAAAAGACTACAGTATCTCTTGATATGAGAAATATCTTGCCGAAACTTTGATTTTTAATTTGCACCACTTCAGCTCTGGTGTAATTGGCGAAATATTCTTTTTAGATGCCTCGACAAGCAAAAGAAGTTCTGCAATATGACGACTTCCTCGGCTGGACTGTGTTGTCGCTCAAGGATTTTCTCTCCCTCAG